AGAGAGAGAGAGAGAGAGAGAGAGAGAGAGAGAGAGAGAGAGAGAGAGAGAGAGAGAGAGAGAGAAACCTCTTGTCAGGACACGGCGGATTGTTTTCCATTTGCTCTGCAGATTTCCAGCAGGCTGTAGCAGGCCCCGGACCTGCCCCGACCCGTGAAGGCCTTTGCCAGGGCGGTCGATGGAACCACTGTGAAGGAACCCCCCCCCCCGTTCTTGTCTATCCCCACGAATCAAGACGGCTGTCGTCCACTTATTTATTCATTCAAGAAGGAAAAGAAAAAGAAAAAGAAAAAGAAAAAAAGGACGGCTGCTGTTATACCTCTGCCGACTCGGATCTGGTTCACCGAGCTGGTTGTTTCTTTCGGGATGGGGCCGTTCTCAGAGGGCATACTTGCACTAGCACTTTCGTAAATGTATCTGACCACAACTACGGATGGATCTGGATGCATCTGACCGCCTTCACGTCCAGAGCAGAGTCAAGGGAGTCCTAGTGTGAGTATGCCCTCAGACGCAGCCTTTACCTCCTGCCTGCCTGAGTGTGGACGAGGCAGAAGGGCGATGCTGTTATAGCATCTTTTTTTTTTTCTTTTTTTTTTTTGTTTTTTTCTGCATCTTTCGAGGTGCTGCAGTTCTGCTTAGTCAAGCCTCACAGATTGTGCTATTCTTCTAGTACATGAAGTGTGTGGGAAGTGTGCTCCTTCCTGCTTTTCTTCTTTTTCCTCCATTTTCTTACCCCATTATTTCAGAGATGATGGGAGCATCCCCTAAACTGTGGCCATACGGCTGTTGCTGGCTGGATTGTATTGGTGAGGAGCTGCATCTGCTGGAAAAAGGGGTTCAGCGTCCCATTGAAGATATGTATTGGTGAACTACCCAAGGGTACACAATAAGTCTGCTGACGGAGCGACATTATCTAAAGGACCCCCTTTTTTTCTTTCTTTCTTTTTTTTAGCATTATCTAACCCCTTTACTTTTCTTTTCTTTTCTCAAAAAAAAAACACCCGGCCCCAGCAGTGGCCAAGGCAATACATAGTATTGCATACACATTTGCACATGAAAAAGAACAAAATTCAGGGGCATGAGTTTGTGTGGCAGTTGAGTGACCCAAATCCTGCCGTGCAGTACTCGTGATCCCACGGTCAGTATTTTACATGTATTACCCAAAAAATTAAGGAGATCTTTGTTCCCCTCCTCCTCTCCTTAACACTGGGCATGCCCATGCAAAGAAAGCTTCCCGCCAGAATCTTTTCAATCGGTTGGGGGTGTGGCCAACCCCAAAAGAGGGTGGGGTTGGTCATAGGCCCACTGGATAGAAGATTTTCAGCATTTTGCTAGCTGTTGTGCAATTATCTCATTGGGTGGACGACTCCCTCAATCATGGGGTATATAATATAAGGAGGGCATCATGATCACTGCTGACAGAAGTCGAGTTTATTCCAGAAAATGTGGCGGTTACTTTGTTCACTGTTGTTGCAACCACCACCATCAGGTCATTTGTGATCTGATGGCTGGGAAGCACTCTGCCGTGATTTCGGGTGGGAGGTCGCTGTTTCTTTTTTTTTCTTTTGCCTTTCTCCTGTTTTCTCAGCCCAGAAATTCGTAATGAACCTGTCAGCCTGCTGTCACTCAGTGTCACACTGGATCGGCCACACTCCTATCCGACAAGCCATGTATGTGGATTAGTGTGACGGTGTGGGCGGGGCTGGGGACAAGTGGGTGGCAGCGTGAAATAGGGAAAATAACCACAAAAAAAACATTTCATGACCAAACAAATGAAGAAAAACTGCTAAAAACGAAAAGAAAGTGCTCTTCTCACAGATGGTGTCTGCTCCAGGCGGGGTGTCAGATGTCAGGGTATGATTCACTGACCATGGCTGTGGCAGTCAAGACGACTGCACGTGACTGGCCACATGGACCATATTCATTGACAATAGTCTGAGGCTTCCTTGAAATAGGCCGGCTTCTCTTTGGCAAAGGAGGGCAAGAGTAACTCCATACACCATTTGCTGTAGGTGAGGGGATAGAACACCTCCAAAACCACAATCAACTTCCAGCGATGAAGCCATTCGAAGCCATTCGTCTTTGCCTTCGCCGTGAACTACATGTGCCTGATTTCATGAACCAAAAAAATTGGTCTCGACTTCACGTTTGGGACGGGA